CTGAACAGAAATTACCCTTGTGATCATACTTGTGCACTTCCTATAACAAAGGAAATGATGACCAACAGATGCTGTAAAACCTCTCAAGACCTTCTGCATTGTTTTTTTGGTACTAACTTCCTGCAAAATGTCACAATCAGCCTATCCTTTCCTCTGACTAATGGTTTTTATTCTTTGCAAATGGATTCTTTGAAAGGAGGTAAAAGGCTCATGGACTGATGGAAGGATAGAGAAAACGCTCACAAGCCTTACCAGAAACCCCCCCCAAGACAGGGTGACAAACTTCAGGCTGAAATCTAGAGCAGAAATAGGAAAGTTTTGGTCCACAGGAGGCCTACAATCTACAGCTTAATTCTTCCTGTTACTACTGAATAATGCTAAAGTGCAGTTTGAACTATTGTCATCTTTTGAAAGCCATGAAAGCAGAAAAACATTTTAAATGAATGACTACAGTTACTAAGTCATAAGAGAAATATTGTTAAAACTTATTCTGCACTTCTGACCATCTTTGTCAATTTTTGCAGCAGACAGACAAGATGCATGAATAACAAGCACGTCTCACATCTTGAAAGAAGTATGGAAGTACAACCACTCACTCTTATTTACTTCAGAACAGGAGTGGAAAAGAATGGAGTAAAACTATAGCCAGGAGGTGAAAGGCTAGCATTACTCACATTGTTTTCAACTGCTCTCAATGAGAAGCTTCAAACCTGCTCAGGTTCTGTGTTCCCCAAGAATTGTCTCCAGAAAGGCAGGCTGTTACTAGGTGTGTGAAAATCAGACATTTCCAGCAACACCAAGATCTGGCATTAACTAGTATTAACAAAGTAACCATAGTAATGGTGTTTGCATAAGAGTGGAGAGAAATGCACTGAGAGGAGGAAGCGGGAGACAAAAATATCTTTTGCAACCTCACAGCCTCTTGTGGAAATCCCCCATCTGAAGCTGGCTCTCGTTGCCCATTTACTCAAGCTCACAGGCACTGATGTCATAGGGCAGGCTTTTTTTTTTATTTCACATTTTAATTCAAGCCAGTGCCAGAAAACACCCATTCATTTGGAAAAACTTTAATGCGTCAGCAGGTATGGGCAGGGTATCCACAGTCTTGTTTTCATGCTGTCAAAGTCTACTGCTAGTTTCACAAAATGACAGGTGGGAGGATGCACGCCGCATGCGCACACGCACGTGCAGCTGCATTGTGGAGGCACACTGCAGCACTGACATTCAGGGAGCGGGAGGAGAGTCAGCATGAAAAGAAACAGCACCGCACTAATTTCTTTTCTTTTAATTAACATTTGTCAAGTTTGGAGAGAAGCCCAGGCTGCAAAATTTGGATGCAAAATTCAAAGAGCTCTGAAACTGGAAATGTTCGCATACAGGCTCCTTATTTATGCTTCGTCCTGTTTATAGGTCGTGCAGAGACTACTTAATTGCTCTTACTGTAACTCACAATTAGTGACAGTTCTTCACTGTATGTCAGCGTGCAGCAGAGCTACACTCTGAAAATGTGTGGCAATGTTTAATAGTAGGCGGACATTTACTACCCTGTTCAAGGATTTTTCCCTGAGGCCCCTCTATTTCATGTGGAGCGAAGAGTTTTAATGTCAGCAGCAGAAGGAAGTGGTGATACTTTAATCAGGTCAGGGAGCTGTTTGTAAAAGGAAGTAGTTTCTCAAATTCATGTGAACAACACCTTTCCTGCACAGCTCTCATTGATACAAGTTCCAAGAACTACCTCATGTCTCACTACTGAATTCTTGGCATAGGGTTGAATAACCACTATTAAACTCTTGCAATATTAAGTCACTAACTCCACAGGAGGTTTGTTCTTTGTGTGAGAATGGGGTTAGATAAAAATTCCAGCCTTTCCTTTGCATTCTTTTACCAGCACAGCACATACTTCTCAGCAAATCACATCAGAAGGTAAGGGAACTGGAATAATACATGCATTAACTTCTTATTTCAGTAAATATGGCACAACTTTCAAACATACTCAATGGACTGTAAACAACACATTTAATGTGGTAAGTATCACCAAGGCTACTCCAGTTCCTAGAAGGGGAGTTGCATGCCTTGCATTCTAGCCTAGAGATAAGAGAGCACAGGATATAACTCACACTAAGGTGAGTTCAGCAGGATTTCTTACCACAGAGAGCCTAAGAAGTAAAACACTGCTAATGCTCCTTCTGGAGCTTTGGGGAGTAAGTGCAGGAGAGTAAGCTGGATCCAGCTGAGCTCTCCTCAGTCACACATTTCTAAGAGCCAAGTCTCAGCTCTCGCTATGGCCATATGTAAGACTGAACTACTGTAGTCCTCGTGGCAAGGACAAAAACCACAGTTCCTCTCACCAGATGCATCAAATCAAACTCCTTGTTCCTCCTCCATCTGCGCTACTTACAATCTGCGTGGCTTCTAGATGTCACGTAACAGTGACATGGTGCTTCCATGCTGGTTGCATTTCAGAGGATTGAAAACAGTACATGGCCTTGGAAAAGGAGAGCTCTATATACGAGTTAATTCCTATGAGTAGTGCTTCTGCCCCCAGAATTCTTCAGACGAAGTACTATTATAGCACAGTGCAGCTTCATGTGTATCCTGCTGCCTTAAGGACACATTCATTTTGTTGGCCTTCAGTTCTGACACGGCATTAGATATGAGCGATGTGTGAAATAGCATGACTCAAGTGATTTAGTAAGATTTCTGCTTCTTGAACTGATCCAGCAGATGAATAATCACACAGATAAATGCTTTTTTAGATCAACTGCCTGTGACAATTTGCTTTCTGCTTTTAAGGAAGGTGGTGTGGCTACTTCCTTCCTTGCTTTTTAGAATTCAAATGAGCAAATAGCATTCTGTCAGATGATAATTACGGGAAACATACGACCTCTGAGACAACGTAGCTGTCCTGCTTAGATTAATGCTATTTCAAGGAGCACCATTTAAAATAATGTAGACTAACTGCACACGATTAGCACATTATTTTAGAACTACTTAGGCATAAAGGATAGCTTTTCTTCTGCAGATTTTTATACCACATTAGTTTTTCTGGCCATGCTTGTCTGACTCATCCCTCAATAGATACACTTCTAATACTGAAAGAGGTTCAATTCACATAAGGGTAAGGGAAGTGTTCTTTTATTAATTTTGTTGTGTTAGCATGAAGCAGGAGGTTTTTTTGGGGAAAGTATTTACATAAAAAGCACAACATTTTCAATCCAAAAACATCAGTGTACTTTGCAGGCGATACAGAAGAGGGCTGCTTTATCTTAAGTTGAAGTAAACCCACTGCTGAAGTAGATACGCAGTAACACCACCTAACAATGTGAACATGAATAATACTTTTCTAATTTAAACTGAGTGTGGGAGGATATAGGTAGGCAGCAAAAGAAGTTGGAAACTGATTTCCAGTGTGATTCATAGGGATTTTCAACAGTTGCTTGTACAGGTAAATTATAATATTCAGCATTTACACATAGCTTTTCACTTATTAAAACCTGATGGTTTTAAGTCTTATTCTTTTTGACAAATGAAGTGCTGAAGCACAATGAAGTTATGAAACTGGGTTATCTTTTTGACTGTATCTAGTATCTCAACTTTCACATACAAAACAGCTTATCTGTTTTGTTAAATACTGCTCACCTGATGAGTTTCCTCTAAGTGAGAAAACTGGATTGTAAAATGAATGGAATCACCTAAAGAAGTTAGGAGAGTAATTTAACATTACTGGAATTGTACCAATTTTGTCCATGGCTTATGAACAATGGTAATCAAAAGGATGTACATATCATAGAATCATAGAATGGCCTGGATTGAAAAGAACCACAATGATCATCTAGTTTCAACCCCTCTGCTACATGCAGGGTCACCAACCACCAGACCAGGCTGCCCAGAGCCACATCCAGCCTGGCCTTGAATGCCTCCAGGGATGGGGCATCCACAACCTCCTTGGGCAACCTGTTCCAGTGTGTCATCACTTGTTTTGTTTTGTTTAAAAGAAATATAAACATAAAAATAACTACAAAAACCACTCATAACAGTCTGCCTAGAGGACTTCCCTACACCCACCCCACAAAAAAAAAAAAAAAAAAGGCTGTTTTCTATAATTGCCTATTGACAAAGTTGTGCAGACTGATCTAGGAACATGCTGAAATTACTGCAGTGTTAGCGTGTTGCTGTTGTCCTCCTTCCCACCTTTACTGACTAAATATTCCTTTGCAGTTCTATTAATCACTGTTTTATCAGCAAGTTTACAGAAAGAGAAGAGTGAAGTTGCTACGTCATCTGAACATCAAGGTCACAGAATAAATTGTAATCCTTCCTGAAAATATAGGAAAAAATAGTCTTGGTTCATTTGTTTCAAAACAACCTAGAAACATACATCCAACTACTCACCTGTGCAGAACACGTCATGCTTTGTTATAATTGTGAATAATTATAAATAGTCAGAATTTCAGAGGAATAACACCAGAGCAGCTCTTGAATGAAATACTATATATCCACCCACCAAAGAGCTAAAGAAAAAAGCTACTAGACCAAAGTCATGCAGGGCTGGGAACACAATCCATGCTTCATATGAATGTCAGATACAGTAGACAGTACTTGACGCTGATCTTCACTTCAATGTCAAAAATTAAATACTTTCTACTAAATGCAAGTAAATGGCAGTAATTCTTTTTAAGTCCTTTGCAAGCATTTTTCTTTCAGCACTGTAGAATATCAAGATTACAGGCTGTCAATTATGTTTTATAGCTTTTCATTCTCCAACAAAACAGAGAGACACGTGCAGTAATAATAACTCATTAATATATTTTGAAGGGATCTGCAGCAAATCCTTATAGCCCAAAACTAAACATGGCTCCATTCTGAGTCCAAAGAGTGCATGTTATTCTTTTTAAAAATGAATGACAAGCATCTTGTTAGCGACAAAGCAAAACAAAAAGCAAAAAAAAAACAAAACCAAAAACCATCACTCTCTCCAAACAAAAAGAAAACCACCAAACTACCAAAAAAGCAAACAGTAGAAAACTTTATTTTGGGCAAACCAAGTCAGCTCCAAACAATTTCAGTAGGCACCTATTGTAGCTTCTGGTATCATTGCTGCATTCATATCTCTAGTCATATTGGATTTCTCTTTAAGTTTTGACTGGAGCAATGTGTGTTCCATTACACCAATTTGAATGTCCATCTGAATGGTTTCTTGCTTCAGTTTTGTTAAGGCCTGTTTAATTCTCACCAGAGGAGCTGTCCAAGAAAAGATAAATAATGCAACTTGGTGTCAGGTGATTTAACACAGAAGCATTACATTCTACAGTTCACTCCTTAAAATTGAAAAAGTGATTGAACAAAAGCACGTTCTACTTTAAAGTCATGACTGAACTGATAGATTATGCTTTAAAGATAGAAATGGCAATAACAATTTTGCTGTCTTCTTGACAACTAAGATCTGCATAAAGACGTGCATAATCATTAAGCTCAGTTTACCAGTGATATATTTTGCTCAGCTAAAAGTCTCACCCCCACATCTGACTTGGGGTTTTGTAGGGAACTGAAGACACCCTCAGCAGGCCGCCATTTTACCTGTGAAAATCTACTAAAATGTTTTGTGCTCCATACTTTATTTGTAACCCATCACTTCCCACTAATATTCACCTTATAGATGCTGCTGACACATCATACAGCTCCTTATAATTCTGGGCTCTAGAGTTTATCCTGATCCTTGGCCATGTCATAGTACAGTTAAGGTGCTGAGAGTTAATTGAGTAGCTCTTTCACTCAAGAAGAGTTAACAAAATTTCTTTACACAATAACACTTACAATTCCTTAAGTCAATTAGCCATAGTGTTTACAATAAAATATAGATACAGCTTGCACATTTAGCCTTGCTATAGTATGCATCTATTCACTTCTGCATTAGTACTCGTAACATTTGCAAAAGAATGCATTTATCAGGAAAAATTACACTAAATTCTCAGTACATAGTTTTATATATTAAAAAACTCAAACTTCAGCACCAAAATTAATTTTCTCATCCATTTCCATTAGCATTAGTGAGGGAATTCCAACGCTTACTCTCAGTAATGATTTGACAGTAAAATAATTTGAACCTTCTACTGACTTGCATAACATTTTTGAAGAGGGTAAGATGTCTAATTTTCTTAGACATCTTTTAAAATCTTAATATGGATATTTTAGACTTGTCACTCATTTCTGGTTATTTTTTCACAGAGGACCAATGATGCATCTGTCACTGAGAAATTGGGTGGATAGTTTGAGGCAAAAACATACTTACTGCCATCAGTCATACTGCTTCCTTTCTCTTCTGTTTCCTGCTTCACTTTCTCTAAAACTTCTGTAATCTTTAATTAGAGATTTTTTTATTCATTAAACCAGATGAATAAAAAGTTAAAAGGAAATCTAAAACTCCCTCCTGTATAAACATGTCAGTTGAAAAAAAGTGTCTGTCTTGTTGTAAAAAGAGGAACTTTTCTGGCTTTTTTTTCCCCAAACATTAGGAAAATTTTCATTAGCCTTTTGAAAAATAGATGTTACAAATTGTATGGCAGATCATTAGCCAAACAGAAACGTTACTGAGGATCCGTAACCAATAAAAACAAAGTGCAAATGTTGCTGCACAGTGGATGGAAGAAAAGAACCACTGACCTCACAGACCAAGATTTACCAAATGACCATAAAAAATGCCCTTCTGAAAGTCTAAAAGGACTTTGGCAGGTGACAAAAAAAACGAGAAATAGCACTGCAGCAAATGATGGTGCAGCAGGCAAGCCTACTGGCACTGGCATGTGTGAATCAATGCGTGAAGAATAAAAATACATTTCAGCACTGACTATCGACCAGTTTGCCTTTGTTGATGACAAAGCAACTATATTCCAAGGCAGAATCTAGATAATAACCTATTTTTTTTGTCTGTATTATAAAAATGGCCTTTTATTAAGGCTTCAGTATGTCCTTCCATTAAACAGCAACAACAACAAAAAAACATGGCTGCATTTTTATTGCATACCTGCAGCGGTACGTGTACTGCCAAGAAGGCTGAGATTTGATTCCATGAAATTAAAATTTAATCCTTTCTGGATTATAGCCTATTAGAAAGCAGATCAGTAGTGATATCTAATGAGCCTAGTTTAGCTCAGATATGCACTGCTGCATCAACACAGTTCAAAGGTTACCAACTCGTAACATATTTCTTTAATAATCAACTTTTATTTTAAGGCACAGAAAGATCATGCAAGTAAATCTGAAATCAACTTCCTTGAGAATCAAAGAGGAAAAAGGACTAAAAGTACAAATGCCATACTGAGAATTCCTTGCTAAAAAGCCCTTGTTAAACTTCTGTGACTATTATTACTTAAAAAAAATCTCAAATCTATTGTACATTTTCCATCATATTCTTATGGTATGATCTATTTTATGTTAACATTTCAGGTACTTTAACATCTAATAAAGTGCAATAAATGCAATATTTGACTAAAGAGTCAAATAAAAGAATCATTAAAAAAAATCTGAACTGCATGAAAAGTGAAAGTATTTGGAAATCTAGCAGTAAATCTGAGTGAAAACTATGAAACAGTCCACATGATAAATCAATTAGGAGTTTCTTCTTTGATTTGTCAAACCATTGAATAAACAAATTTTTAGGTATTAATATAATTTGATTGGTATCAAAAAGTTACTCTTTAGTCAAATACTGCATTTAAACGCTTTCAAGATTAACATTTCAAATTGCTATTGGTTACTTTTGCTAAAAATAAAAGTTAAGCTTTTCTTCTTCTGAAGACTTTATGGACATGAGTAGATTAATCCTCAATAATTCTAGGAGACAGGTTATGAAATACAGAATATTTTCACTCCTTCACAAACTGGTGAAATTTAGAGCTCATAATTGTTTGTTCAAATTCAGAAATTAAAAAGCAATAGCAACCTCAGTTTAAAATTTAGGGGCCAGGTGAATCTGCTCCCACCAAAAGAACATAATAAGTTTTAACACAACGTATCAGGAAGAGCTCAGTTCATAAATATGAGAATGCTAGATGTCAATTCTTCAATGATTTATTCAAGGAAGCTAAAGAAATATTGTGAACGTGTTTTACCTCAGAAAGGACTCTAATCCTTTCAGTTACTCCTCCACTTCCCTCCTGGTATTTCTCCTTAGCCTGTGAAGAAACACATTTTTTGCTGAAGAGATGCATGCATTCCAGATACTTAATAAAGCAGGTTTCTAAAATTACAGCAGAATCATTAATAACAATTAATCATTAATAATTAATAATGTGAATTTTTCAGAGAGAATACCAAAATTTGCTTTTACATGTCCCAATTCCAGAAATTCTCCCATGAAATCTCAATGACATTTACAGCACTACGAATATAAGGAAAGACTTGAAGACACCAGCCTATGCAATGACCATCATTCAAAACAGGAAAGCAGTTTTAGAAGTTGTGACAGCCCTAATGCATAAGAGTAAGAAGTAGGTTTCCTGGTAGACTTGCATGAGAAAACATGCATCAAGAAAATTTGCCAGAATGCAGACTGAAATGATTCCTGAAACCCAGAATGCTTCTTTCTATTCAGTAAGTTACTGTCTTGACGTTTAACAGCAAGATAAACAGAAAGCACAGAGGTCAAATCCTGCTAGTCTGATTTTATCGTCGAGCCCTCAAATAGGAGAGCTAACCAACTGGTAGCTTACACAGGCCCCCTAACTAAAGAATCAAAAAGATTCTCAAGCATTAGCCTATTGGCATAAAAACTAAATGAAGTAAACAAGTAATCAGAGAGCTTTGTGCAAGTTAGCATGAGTAATCAACGTAAGAGATGAATGCTGAACTGAAGCTGTAGCTTTTTCACTCATCACAGATGTGTGAACTCCATAGGGAAAGCAGAAACAGCAATTTACTAGCTGCTCAAGATTGTGGCAGCCGATTTACATAATATTCAGGCAAGAAAACATTTACTTTCCCTTGTAGAATATTGAATAAAAATTGCTAATTTAGCTTAAAAACTATATAATTTGACAGCCAATCAGCATTTCCCATGCTTTATATCCAAAAGAAGAATTCACAGATAACTCCTCCAACTCTTTGTCTTTACCCTCATGTTAATACTAGGCAAAGAAACGACAGATCAGTGCATTACCTCACTCAGCAAGGCTTGTGCTGAACGGTATTCTTGAATCAAATGCTCCAACTGATTGTTGATGTACTTTTCCCTGCTATTGATCTTTTCCAATGTTCGGCTGATTTCATTATGGAATTTGTCAAGGTAGCCCTAAAAAATCATATTCCGTAGGTTGACAGTATACAGACATTACCCAAAGAGTATTAAAATGGTGCTGTAATTAAAAAAGGATATGGAATGCTACAAGTAATAGTGAAAAACAGTACAGAAATGTTGTGTCTGGCTAATGAATAAATGATCCCAATGTCTTTTTTCCCAGTGCCACAACACCTATTTCAAGTTCTACCGATTCCTTCATCACAGAATGGCTTGGGTTGGAAGGAACCCCAAGGATCATAAAGCTCTAGCCCTATGCCACAGGCAGGGTTGCCAACCACTACATCAAGTATTAGATCAGACTACGCAGTGCTCCATCTCACCTGGCCTTACACATCTTCAGGGACAGGGCATCCACAACCTCTCAGCAGCCTGTTCCAGCACCTCGCCACTCTCTCAGTATCCTTCCCCAGATAATTACAAATGTCAATGCTGGTAAATTATTCTAGCAAAAGTATTTGAGAACTTTTTTTTTTATTATTATTAGCTATTTTAGTTTTTATATTAGTTATTTTCAGTTTGTATTATATCATTTTGCACTCTGTATTTATAACATATTGAAAACAAAGGGCAAAGTGATATGATACATTAGTGAACATTTACATCCTTGTTAACATATACGACTGTTGCTCACAAGATCTTTGGCTAGTGCCATTATCTGTAATCATCATTATCACATCTCCCTTTTTAGTTTTACATTATTATAATTAAAATGAAGAAATAAAACACAGGCATACAAAATGAAAAACAAAATAGAGGTGCTAACAGACCAGTGAAATATTCTGCACATAAAATACATACCCTAGTTTCTTTCAAAGAAGATTCAATTCCATCCTTATGTTGATGCATTTGATCTACATGGATCCTCCAATCCTAAAAACAAGATGCCATGAAGTAAAACATAAGTAAATACAGCTTTTATGTTTCTCTGGTTACTAAACAAATACTGTATGCAAGACAGAGTGAGTTCTCATACATACTACTACTACCATACGTGATTCTTCCACTGACATCACGATATCTAGATGCATTGGCACAGCATGACATAGTTCATTGATCTCCTAGATGTCCCAATGTGACACTCAGACCTATAAACAAACATTGACCTCTTCATTAATACCACAGTAGCTATATTTTTTAGTCTGATTGATCCTCACTGTTTCTCCTAGAAACCACTACATGCACAAATGTTGAAAATATTGACTACAGATGCACTAGCTCAGCTTGTTCTTAGAGAACAAGCATGTTCCAACTACCTAACAACCACTACTTCCAGACTATCAGATCTTTTCTTCCTACTTAAACCCAACTGTTACCATAAAAAACAGAAAGAAAAGAAATAGGCAGAAATAACTGAACTTGTTTTCAATACTGGGACAAAACTGGAATGGGGATAACTATTTGCACCTGCTATGTCATAGGAAACACACATGGATTCAGGTATGGAGAACGAGAAAAAGCTGCTATTTTAACTTGACAGATAGGCACCTGTTACTTAGAAATCAATTCCACTTCCCAACATTTATCACAATTTATGCTTATCAATGCGGACTTTCTATGCCTTTCATACCCAGAGCACAGCTGCAAACTGTGAGTTCAAAACAAAGCAGAGCAGAAGCACTGCAGAATTATCTCTATTTCAGCATTGTGTTTCTGAAAATGTATTTTAAAAAAAAAATAGACTGTCAAGGTTTTTAAACACTTGGCACTGCTCTGGTCTACATGATGAGAAAACTGATGTTAACAAAACTTTACCACTTGAAATCAAATTCTAGGATACTCCCTTGTAAAGTAGGTACTGTAAGGGTAAGGATATAGATATGGAAGATGACAGTGTTTGCTTCAGTAAGATTACCTGATCAAGGACGTTGTCAAATAGGACAATAAAGAAAAGGGGGAAGCAAAACAAAGAGGCACAAGCCTCTTTAGTAACAAAGAGGTAACAAATATCTTGCCAATTACACTAATGGATATGCAAAGCATATGAAAATTTATTTCAGTAATATCATTTGATTGAGGACCTTGTCTAAAGGGGATGAAAAAGAAAAAGGGGAGGGAATAAACAACACAGAAACACACACTTGTCAGAAAAACAGTAAGGGATACTGAAAAGAAGCAAACATGATCAATCACATTAACCAGTCCGCTATCAAGAAACTTCAGACAACACTACAAAGAGGATACAACTACACCTTCCAACTGATAAGAATGCAAACCTGTTAATCCCAGGCATTAGCAGCAAGGGTTGGTGCAACTCTGCAAAGTGGTAAAGCAATGTGCAAAAGAAGGAGTCTGGGAAGGAACTTCTCAAGGGCACAGAGGCCTAGCAGAGAGATACTGACAGAAGGCTGGGCAATCACCAACCACATGAAGTTTAACAAGAGCAAGTGCCGGATTCTGGACCTGGGACAGGGCACCCCTGGGTATATATATGTACAGACTGGGGAGTGAGAGGCTGGAGAACAGTTCTGCAGAATGGGGTCTGGAAGTTCTGGCTTACAGCAAGTGGAATCTGAGTCAGCTGTGTGCTATGGCAACTCAAAGAGTCAACTGTGTCCTGGGGTGCATCAGGCGCAGCACTCCTAGGCCTCATCTCAAGCACTGCGTACAGTTTTGAGCACTGCAATGTAAGAAGGACAAAACTATTAGAGAAGGGAAGGGTATGAAGGGCAAGGCAAATGAGAGGCTAAGATTTCTTGGTCAGTTCAGAGTAGAGCAGAAGAGGAAGCCTTGTGGCAGCCTGCAGTCCCTCACAAGGGGAATGAAGGAGCAGTGCTGAGCTCTGCTCTCTCTAACAGTGACAGGGCTGGAGGGAATGGCATGGAGCTGTGTCAGGGGGAGGGGCAGCTGGAGGTGAGGGACAGGTTCTGCACCAGAGGGCAGTGGGTCTTGGAAGAGGCTCCCTGGGGAAAAGAGAAGCTGGCCACATATAAGCCAGTGCAGGTCAGTATGCTTGTCCAAGGGAGAACACCTGAGCAAGACGAATTTCCAGGTTCTGTGCTCCTGAAGGATGTGACCATTTTTGACAGGAACAAAACGAATCCTGGCTTGACACAGCTGCATGCTTAAACACGTGCCATCCTTCAATCAAAAGCAGTTCCTGGCTTCAAATGCATATAACTACCACAGCACTAGTGCCTCTGTCTCTATCTCATATGAGCACAGCTGAGCATCTCCAACAGCTGTTCAGCCTATGAGATTTCACTTGCTGTCTAAAACTGTGCTGCTGCCCACTATTCTCTTCAGGATTAAAACAAAAGCTAGTAGAGAAATATGCTTACATTATGCGTTGAGTTTTAAGTTCGCAGCAACTCAAGATCTTTTTGCTGGTATGGTAACAACTGTTAGTAATTTGCCAAATTTTGCAGACTTACAACATAAAAATAAGTTCTCATTTCTGTATTGCCAATTAAACCATTAACCTCTCCTGGTATTAAATATACATGCACAGTTTACATAACCAATATGAGGCTTTTCTTACAGAATGTCATCTAGTCCAAATATCAACCCATCACCACTGTGCCCACCAAATCATGTCCCTAAGAGCCACGTTTACCCCTTTCTTAAACAACTCCAGGGAAGCTGACTCCACCGCTTCTCTGGCCAGCCTGTTCCAATGTACCACCACTCTTTTTGAGAAGAATTTTTTCATAATATCCAACCTGAACTTCACCTGCTGCAACTAAAGGCCATCACCTCTCATCCCATCACTAGTTAACTGGGAGAAGTGGCTGAACCCCACCTTTCTATAACCTCCTTTCAGAGAATTGTGGAAAGCAATGAGATCTCCCCTGAGCCTCTTCTCCAGACAAAACAATCCCAGTTCCCTCAGCCATTTCCTATGAGACTTGTGCTCCAAATGCTTCACCAACTCCTTTCAAGTTATTTCTGAAAGCATTAAAGTACACAAGCTAGAAAAAGAAGAACCCTCTTTTCATATCCATTTTGACACCTTCCTTAAAAACAAGGAACAGTGTGTTAATTTGGAAGGTAGCAAATCTCAGTGGCTTTCATTTTCTATGTATGTCTTCATTAAGCTTTAATTTCTTCCTGTGAGAATCAACCACGTTATCTGTAACAAGCTTGCTGAGGACCAGAGCACAGTGGCTCAAACCAGGAGATTCTTCACTTAGAAGAATGCAGTACAGACAGGCAGGACATTTTATGAGTTGAGGGTTTAGTCTATTTTTTATAGATAATTATAATAATTATCCTTCACTGAATTCTGCATCACTGTAGATTGCTCCACCACCACCTCAACTAGCTGGGCCGCTACAAACACACAGTTTCAATACTGCACTCATCTGTGTGGGCTATGCAAACTCTCAGAAAGAATGCTTGTGGCAATGTGAAGAATACATTCTAGTATTGGACGCTGACGTGTTAAAAACAGACGTGTGTTTCTGAGCTGCTCATTCTAGACTCCATGGAATACATTATGGTAAGAAAAACACATTTCTAAGAAAAGATAAATTTCATCTTGAGGTAGCTATCTGGATAGGTAAATAAAATTAAACTGAAAATGCACTTCTTTTCATTAAACACGAGGAAATGTAATGACTAGATCAGAGGTACAGACCTTCTTTACATAATCTAAAGTTCAGCAAGATGAATTCTCTGAAATCAACCTTTTAAGTGGTTGAAAAAAAAATCAAACAGTTGCAAAGAAGCTTCTTTTCTTCTAGGAAAATGCTTTAATAGCTGCTAAACTGGAGGTATAATTTTTCAGAAAGGTTTAACGATTTAAGAAGTTTCCACAGAAATAAAGATAGAAGCAGTCGCTGTTCTTACATAATACTGGTAAACATCCTATTGAAAATTATTGCTTCTAGCTTCAAAGTAAGTGACAAAGGTTCAGAGAAGATAGCATTGGAAAGCCCATGATTTAATTTACATGGTTTAATTCTTGGCACAACAAAAGAAGAAAAAAATGGAAATGAAAAAATAACACTGCTGATTCAAACTGCACTTGAATCACCATGCATACATGTGAAAATTCACTCTCACAAACCTTATTGTCAGTCCTGACTGTAACTTTCAGCTGTGGAAGCACACGTTCCACTTCCAGATTCCACTCTGCCGCATCTGTTGTGGATAGCAAGATTTCTTCTCGTTTTGTGGAGTCTTTCACATCCTGCATGAAACCCAGAAATTTTATATACAAAACATAATTTTTATACTCAGCAACAACTGTTAGAAGTCAAGTTACAATGGGTCACAGCATTCATATTCAGAAGTACACATATATCCACTAGGAGCTTTAGATGTCTTTCTTTGAATTCTTAAAATATTAGGAATTAAATATATTTTCTCATCACATTTAGAATTCCAAAAAATGAAATGTATACCAAGATGAACTATAATATATCAATCTTGCTGCAATATCCGTTTAGAAACCAGAAATACAGTTTTCTTTTAAAATAAGCTGATGTGTCTCAGCTGGCATGTTTTTCCTCAAGCACAGACTGCATATGTATTTTTGGACTTCAACACAAATAAACTTCTGCTGAAGAAGTAAAAATCTCTAACGAGAGGAATGGCAGGTAGCAACTTACCGATCTGTATGTTTGTGCCTTTAGAACGTTCAGGTCAATAAAGTTTTCTTCATTATCTGATTCTTCTTCCTTAAGCAAATGTTGCAAAGAGACATTAGTGAATATTTCTTTCACACAAACTTCAAAACTTTTCTTCACAGGACCAAATATGCAGTATATTCCAAATTACTGAACAAAACAAGACATGGAAAATTTCTAATAACAGAGCTTGCATTTACTTCATCTGCCATTTTATCATCCATGTACTTCATGCTTATGCAGTTCTGTAGTTCTTTTCAGTTTGCCCTCATCTGTTCCACCAAAGACAAATTCCATCATTCACCTTCCTTCTAAACAAATCATGAATGCTGCTATAACGTTTACTTTAGTGTTCTACCTTTCAAGATCCACATAGTAAAAACCTGTGAGCTTATTCTTGTACTTCACACAGGTTTTGACTATGTTTGACCACAACACCATCGTTAACAACAACAAAAAGACTAATGATTGGAACTAAGGCACTAAACAGAGAAGACTTCCTTGGGTTGGCTACAGTTTGTTCACCAAATTCCTCAAGATTTACAGAACCAGTCTTTCTCTGCCATCCTCATCAATTTTATTCAGAATAATCTAATTTAGAAGAACAATCAAACTCATCAATAGTATTTAATTACTGGAAATACTACTAAATTAAATTCTGGATAAAACTAATATATTCAGGATATATCAACATATAGCCTGCAACAAGATTGGGAAAATGTTTACAGATGATTAATTCCTGTAGAACTATTAGAGGCTCCAAGAAGTTGTTATCTGCTTGGCATAAACCCAACTCAGTGGTTTTACTAACAAAGAAATGTAGAGAAGCTAACAGAGCACACTAGATGTAAAAATAATGGCCTAAGAACCCAAGACCAAATCCAGAAGTTCTTTGAAGGGCACAAACTGACCTTTAGTTAACAGTTTCCTCTCCACTTCTCCACGTAAACAGTGAATAAGACACAGAAAAAAGAGTAGACAGTTGACTGTTTTCGCATTTATAGCTCTTAGCCAACAGCTGACATTTCTGAGGCTTGTCAAATATGTAATGCAGAATGAGTCCAATTGTTCTCAGAATTCATCAAGAATTTTCCTGGCTAGACTTCAAAATGCAACCAGACCATTAAAACTTACATCCCAATACTTCCATACAGTACAGAAATTAAGAATAAAAGGATGGAATTTTTCTTGGCTAATAAAAACATGGGGAAAAAAGTACAATAATTAAGAAAACTATGACAAGAGAAGCAAACTCTTCAACTCTTACTGTAGACTACTGTCATATATAAATTGAGACTACAATCAGAGCCCTATTGTAACAACACTGGCATTCTAACTTATATGACCTTTGATTTTTCACAAGCACTTGAAAAACGTGAACACAAACATGGGAAACTTGTGGCATTTCTATCCAGTACTTCTAGTTCTAAAGACTGCACAAAATTGTTTTCCCCACAAAAATCTTTGAAAGGTCTTGGAGAACAGGAGAGGTCCCTGAAGACTGGAGGACAATCATCATCACTCCAGTCTTCAAAAAGGGCAAGAAGGAGGATCTTGGCAACTACAGGCCAGTCAGCCTCACCTCTGCCTCTGTAAAGGCGATGGAACAACTTGTTTTGGATGCTACCCCCAAGCTATTGGAAGAGAAGGCTATCAGGAGCAGTCAACGCAGATTCACCAAGGGGAAATCATGCTCGACCAACCTGTTACCCTTCCATGATGTCATGACCAGCTGGATGTACAGGAGGTGAGCTGTGGATACTGTATATGTTGACCTCAGCAGGGCGTTTGACATTGTATTCCACAACAGCCTTGTAACAAAGCTTAGAAAGTACAAGATAACTGTGTGGACAGTGGGGTAGATTGAGAACTAGCTGACTAATAGAGCTCACATGGTTGTGTTCAGTGGCATAGAGTTTAGGTAGAGGTCTGTAACTAGTGGTGATCCCTAAGGGAAAGTGCCGGGTCTGGTCTTGTTCAACATCTTCATCAGTGACCTGGATGAAAAGATAGAATCCACCCTCAGCAAGTTTGCTGATGATACAAAGCTGGGAAAAGTGACTGACACACTAGAAGGCTGTGCTGCCATTCAACAAGACCGGGACAGACTAGATGATTAAGGGCCTGATGATCTTCCTTATGAGAAAAGGCTGAGGGATCTGGGACTGTTCAACCTGCAGAAGAATGAGATTTATTTATAAATAAATATAGAAAGTGCGAGAGTCAAGTTGATGGCAGTGGACTCTCTTCAGTCATGATGAGCAGTAAAACAATGGGCAACAGGCAGAAACTGGAGCACAGGAAGTTTCATACTAAGACAAGGAAGTTCTTTACTGCCAACAGTGACACAGCACTGGCAGAGGCTGCCCAAAAGGCTATGGAGTCTTCCTCTCCAGAGATATTCAAGACCTTTATGGACGCCCACACATATGATATGCTGCAAGGAAACTGCATTAGCAGGTGGTTGGATTCAATGATTTCTAGAGGTTCCTTCCAACCCCTGCAATTCTATGATTCTGTGAACTTACTGACCAAGCAAACAAGCACTTCCAGACTTACACTTTTCAATACTTCAGTTTTGGTTTACATTTACTTTGTAAAAAATTTTCAGATTTCGGAGTAATCAGATGCAAAATCAATTTCTTTTTGTAATTTTTACTTTGATCATCTTCAGCTAACTTCCTTCTCCAGAAAAGTTTTAAGTCAGCAGTAAAAAGACTTGCTTTGAGAAGACTGAAAATGAAGAACTCGTGATCACATTAGGAAAACAGCTTACAGACGGGGAGACTCCAATTCTCACAAAAATAATTCTCTGGGAAAGTCAATCAGCAAGAAACAATTTCTGTCATGCACCAGTAAGTCCAAGAAGCGTATAGGAATTTACAGGAGTATTTCAATGACTGTTTCACAGACATTCAACATCATTGTAATTATTATAGTTAAAAGAGTTGATCCTGAAGCATTGCCATTTTTTTTTGAAAAACAGGCATAAAGAGACTTATTCTGCAGTCAGAACAGATGATGATTAATATTCCATTCAAGTAATACATAGTGATGAACAGCCATGAGCTTCCTCTAAAGAAAAAATGCTGTAACCTTTACTTAGATCTTCAATGGTGTCTTAAATAAATACTCAAAAGTTCTTTTCCATCTATTTTCTTTACTAATCTTAAGATTAAGGCCAAAGTTACTGTTTCCCATTTGCAGTGAAATGTGAGTAACAATAGTGAGCATTTAATAAAGAGCTGGTGAAATTTCAGCCACTACTGTAAATAAGGGCTAATTCAGGTTTCATTTAACAACAACAGCTTGTTTCAGTAGAAAACAAACAATTCTGAATCCATGTAATGTTAACGTATGGTTTGAGTCAGCTTCATATTAATTGTAAATGCACACAATAACAAATGCTCTGTCTTGAAGAGTTAACCACTCTATCTGAAATTATCCCACAGAGAAGCTGACAATGCAGGAAAAACAAGGGACACAGGAAAGAAGGGTAACGGAACTGCTGGCAGATTCTTCAAACCAAAGAAAATGGACAGCAAGTGAAAAGTACTTCATTGCTGATGAATACTAATACAACATAAAACAGATAGTCAAACCTACTGCAATATCCTCTTCCAGTTTATTAAGTGTTAATTCCGTATCTTCTTCTGTTATTTCTTCTTCTTCTAGCTCATCTGTTGGGTACAGTGGCCTGAAATAAGTTCAAAAGAAGTACTGACAAAAATAAATGCTTCAGTGAGCTGCTCCCAAGCAAATAAAAGATTTCAGGAGAAGTATGAATAATGTGGAATATGAACAGACAGTGGTTGTCTCACACACACAAATTAACTTATGCTCAGCCTTGAAAGTCTTTGTTACCTTAGACTGTCTTAATAGTGAAGATGAGTAGTCAGGCCAAGCAATAAAGTGTATTCACACCGCTAAGACATCTGGGGATTAAGTTTTCATTCATTTTCTCCTTTGGTCTAATTTCTAAGACTTCAAGTGCAAGTCCCCACAAACTCATTTTTAGCTTATTTTGGAATTTGAGTACTAAATAGTAGTATCAATAACATACTTTGAAGGTAGAAATTACCTTGCCATACAATTTAAAAACCAGAGGGAGGGGATGAAATCAAGAGCACTTTTCAACAAATTGTCATATACTTGAAATTTTTTGCCATCTGATTTCTGTGAAGTTTTCCTTTGGATTCAGTACACAAGTTATAGTACTCTATTTGTAACAGGATCACACACTGTGTGTACTTCCAGCCAAGGAAGCTACTGATTGATGGGACCTAAACAGACAGATACAAAAACATTTCAAATCAACTGTTAGATTAACAAGCAGTTACTTACAAGAAAGGGACCAAGAAGAGGCTATCAGTCAAATCTTTATCAATTAACTTAATCTACTGATAGCCCAAACTCACTCTTGCTGGTAGAAGACTAAGCTGCATGAAATGCCATTAGGAATCACCTTATTCCATTGCTTCAAGCCTATCTGAATTTTGCACCTCATGAAACCATCATATTTTGTGTACCTCCCTTTCTAACTACTATTTGTATTTGTTGAAAAATATGCGTATGCGAGGATTCTTCCAAGTGTACTATACCTTTTCCAGCTAAAGCCACTGTATTTCAAGGCTTCTTCAGCTAAACAATCAAGAACATAACAGGCTTGCTCTCCATAACCTGACTTCAATTTTGCGGGAGGAAAATCCACAGGCCTTCCCTAAAACAAAAAGATATGCTGTTTACTAATGGCTACTCATCAATCAATTTCATTTCAAGACATTAACTACATTTTTTTTTTTTTTTTTTAACTAAAACCCAAGTGTTCATGGTGCCGAAAGATTTTGCCAATGTTAATTCGCACTATTTTCCAATGGAGCTCCAGTCAGGAAACAGGAATGGAAAACAAAACTACTCAAGGAAAAGATGCAGTGCAGAAATCCTAAAGAACATGGTAAAAAGAAGTGAACAGAAGAATCAGAAGCTGTAAGATGGTTAAGAACAGAAGTGACATCCTGGCAAGGTAAGGTCAGCTACAGAGGATCCCAGGTACTGAGATTAAACCTATGCTTTTTTTGCCTTATGCCTTATTTGTTGCAGATATCTCTCCAGAGAATCCCAAAACATAAACACAATTAAAAATATTTCCTTTGCACTTAATTCCACTTTTGACTTTGGCAGGAGCAGAACAGTGAGTACATATTTACAAAGTTTGTCTTGGAAGCTTGTACAATTGCACCACTATAAATGAACAGCATTTGTAGCACTATAGGAAGTAATCTTGATTAAATCCATTTTACAGACTGTGGAACAAAACTAATTAGAACTAAACATAATAACGTAAGACCATTTTTGTAGTGTCAAAAGACTAACAAGTAGGTACAGACAGTATAAATCTCTAATAGCTTTGCTTAATTAACATTGTACAAACATGCAGATAGAAAAAGTCTGTCCAGTCCTTGGGAAGATAATCAGATAGGACAGGAAATATGTTATTACTGATATTTATGAAGGTCACGTCCATGCCTGAAATGCACTTGAAAAAAACAGCATGTTCAGCACTTACAAATGATCGCAGTTCCGAGAGTATCTTAGATATTATTGCATTGGGGTCATCATATTCTTGAGGCTGTTCAAAGTGATGTCCTGCTTTAACAATCAGCCAAGCAGCAAGAGTGCAGAACACGAAGAACTGCTCACCAGGATTAGTGGGCAGTGCAAAATAGTGCCTGTTTAAGAAGGGAAGGAAGAAAAAAAAAAAAAAGGTAAACAATGGTATTTTGAGCTCCTGAAGCAATTATAGCATTATAAGCCAGCACAAGCTAGGTAAACAGTCTCTTAAACTGACTTTCCCCACATTCCCCAGCTACCAGATGGGCAAGAGGTTGGTGTACCTACACTTGGCACAGCTCAGACCAGCAGCTTCTGAAGTAATTCTTCCACTCACTCCCACCTACTGTGCGAGCTACACTGCGCCTATTTGGGATCAAACCGAGTTGAATAAGGTAGCCTGCTGCCACACCTAACGTGCCCCGAAGGGAATTCAGCCCATTAAGTCAGGCCGCAGTTGCTCCCTATGAACGTCCCCACAGCCGCCCCGTCCCGCTGGGCGCGCTCGAGGGGCACCTGGAAAGCGGCCTCACGTTGTGCTGCCGCAGCGCCTCTTCCTCGTAACTCAGCAGCTTCAGCTTGTCCAGCAGCTCCTCCATCAGCACGAAAGCGGCGTAAGCCGCACCCGGGCCTCGCTCCACAGCCGTCCCATCGTTATCCCGCTCCGCCATTTTGGAGCCCCACGCCACCGCCCGTAGCCGAAGCAACCGGCTCTGCCAATCACCGACTGCCTCTTCCTCCGCGCAGCGCCATGAGGTCACCGTCGAATCAGCGCCCAGGGCCGGCGGGAGGCTGGGTTGTGGCTGCTGCCGTGTGGGCGTGCAATGAGAAAACAGCGGGATTTGTGGTCACCTGTCAGACGTTTTTCATCTGAACAAGGGGTTACAGGGAGCCGAGGGGCGGTAGCAGCAACTGACCCGAGCTGGAAAGCGGGGCAGAGTACGTGTAGGTGTGGCCATGGGAGCGATTGGGAGAGTGCACCGCCCCGAAGAAAGCTGTGCAACTCCTTTAAGTTGCAGGTATGTACACACCCTGCCTCCAAGAAACACCGACCCGAACGTGTGCTCTGGGAGCTCTGGCTGTTCGTGAACTCAGAACAGGTGAAAAAAGAAAAACCCTCCCCCCAAAAGCCCCAAAACTCTGTGGCGCTAAAGGGTATGAATTGGGGTGTAGGGGCAATTGGTTATGTGAGGTAAAATGGAGCGTTTCAGGTCTGCTTCCTAAGGAAATTAGTATTAGTATTAAATGGGGAGGTTGGTGGCCCTGCATGTGGCAGGGCGGTTGGAGATTCGTGATCCTTGAGGTCCCTTCCAACCCTCTGGCCATTCTGTGATTCTTTGAAATGTTATGCATGGTACGAAGGTGCCTTTTTCCTTCAGGAATATTTCTCACCAACTGAAGTTGTGTTTGCAGCCTGAATTTGGTTAGTGTGGAGTTGACACAGAGCTGGCATTTAAGGCATGTTCCATTGGAGGACAGTAGAGCATTAATACTGTTTAATATATTGTTATAGTAATCTTATTTTCCCCTACAGGAACTGGTTCCTGCAAGCCAAAAGGTTGGACATGCATGGTAGGTTATCTTTATGTCCCTCTTGCTCCAAGCTGTTCTGTGCTTACTGCTGATACAGATTTTTTCTTGTGCATGTGATTCCTCTTCAGTAAAAAGCCACATGCTCAGGCTTTTCTAGCCTTCTTGAGCTTGCACATGCTTGGAATGTGCCATTATGAAGTTACCTTAAAAAGCAAAGAAACAATCCTTTTACTAAGAACTAATAAATTTTGCTTTACGAGGCAAGAGAATGTTGCAATATGTGTGACTGCGCCACAAGTGGGTAAGGGGTAAGTATGCTAGGTAAACCCTTTGGCCAGAGTGTGGATAAATAGAAAAAAAATAAAATGGAAAATTCCAACGAGATAATAAAGCATGTGCCTTTTGCCATTTGTTTCATATAGTGGCCAAAGCAAGTGTAGTGTTGCCCCTGCCACTATCTCAGCTGCTCAGTGACTCGTGTATGTCTGCATTTTAATAAGAAGCATTTTAATACTTCACTTGGCTCTCAGAAATCCTAGCCAAGGTTCTGGCATCAAGCTGAGGCAGTGATTGTTCCGCAGGAATTTTTTTTTTTTTTCTGTAGAAGCATGGGAAATGAAATAGTCTTAATATTTTGGTGCAAAGGAAGAACTTGGCAAGTGTTCAGATAACGAGATTCTAGATTCAGAACTGGTCAGTTAAAATCCTGAATTCCTTAGAACTAAAATTACCACGATCATACAGACCAACAGAAGTTTTTTCTTAATGCATTGTAAGAACTGTACTGAGTAGAGTGACCTTCAGCTAGTTAGTTCCAGCTGTATTTCGATACAACATCATGGAAAACAGCTAGAGAGGATGTGACAGTCTGCTTTCTCCTGTCTTCAGACTCTGACGCAGGCCACAGAGCCAGGTCAGACCTGCTTCCAGAATCTTTGCCAAATTCATGAGCTCTCTCTGCCACGTAAGAGAAATTTAGCACTGATTGCAGTTGCTGAAATTCAAACAAAGACAGTGTATTGTGTTACTACGTTGGAAGTGTTGGACAAATAAAAGTGTAATCCAGGAAAATATGATGCATACAGTTTTCCAGTGTCTAACTCCTTGCATTGGAAACTGCTGCTACTCACTGTAGCTAATGGTGCAAAAAATTAATATATTGAGATTGTTTTACTCTTGCATAATCTCTACTTCAGGTTTTAGAATTTGGTGCCCCTCTGGCCCCCTCTACAAAAAGTGATAATACATAAAATCACTCTAGCTTTGTGGAAGAAGCAACATGCAAAAATCCTTGGGATGTAAGATTCACATGCATTGCAAATACAATTGCACACACCAGTCAAAACTATTTGTCAGTATTGGTCTGGGATAGAAGAACTGACTAGCAAGCCCAGTGAAACCTGTGCCCTTTCTAAGTTAGGAAGAGTACGTGTAGGTCTCCTTTCAGAAGGGACAAAGAAGAAGGGGAAGCCCTTTAGTCTCTTTGTGAGCTATATGAGTCACGAGGTAACTTCTTTTCCATGTTTTGCTATATTTTGAAGTAATACACCTGGATGAAGGAAGAGCGGGGTCTGTCAGTTACAGGAAAGTTCTTGTGTCATTCTGCAGGTGAGTTTCCTCATTCATTTCACTGACAAACCTGAAAAGCTGATGGGAGAGCCTCATCTTCTTCTGTGTTCCTACCCCAGACTTTCTTATGCACATTTGTAGAAGTTCACTTGATCAGAAGGGCATCAGCTGAAGATTCTTTATACCTGCAGTATTTGGGCATTCAGGCAAACTCCCCACTTCACAAAAACAAATTCCGCAGTAATCAGGAGTCTATTTCAGGAAATGAAAAACTGACTTGACAGGGTATCCTTTTGGAAAACGCACTTGGCTGTTTTTTCTCTGTCCTATTCATTAATTTTGAAAGTCAGCACCAAATATTAACACTTTAAAAACAGACTGAAAATAGATTGCATGGTAATAAGAGGGCCTAGACGTTTATAAAATGTATAGTATACTTAGTAACGTTAATGCCAAGAAACGTGTCAAAACCTATTGCAGCCAAATTTGATTAGTTGATAAACCGTACAAAGAAAACAATACAGCTGAAGAGTTTTACCTGCACTGAAACAGCTTTGTTTTTTTTCCCCTCCTTTCTTGTTGTCAGTTTGAAATGAATCTACTATGAACCAAAGACGACATGAAGGGACAGAAAATACCATCTCTTATTCTCCATTTACTTTCCATTTGTGCTACGTTTTGGGGTAGGTTGTAGTTTGTTTATGAAAAATAAGGATGACATCTGTTACTAATTTTTCACGTGAGGAATTAATTCAAACACTGTTAATGGTTAAAGTGGAGCAAAGCATTCCTAAGCTGAAAATGAATGGACGATTGTGGCCTTGGCCTTTGAGCACGCAGACTATTACCTTCTTGCATTTCTGCCACGTGACAGCTGGTGACCATTCAGCATGCAGTGGTTGTCAGTTAGTACTGAAAATGGTTCCATTTATATTAAACTTTGTGCTGAGGTGGCTGGGGAAAGGTCATGCAGATTGCTTTGCTGGGGTTGCCATATCTGTGGAGAGGGCATCATAATTAAACATCAATAGCAACCAGGTATTCTTTGTGTAAGTTAATTTAGAGTAATGCACCTTAATTACCTCCAGGAGCTGGGACAGCATTCCCTGACACCATTTTGGGGTTACAAATCCTTTTCAAAAAGTTCTGTCCTTCCTGACAGTCACACAATTGCATTCTTTTGTCAGTAGAATTGCTTGGCACTGTGAGCATCACCAGTAACCCAAGTCACTGTAACCTACCTGTTTGAAATTTGAGTAATAAGCTGCAGCTTGAGGCTGGGAACTCCCTTAGTGGAATTTGATGTCAAAGGTGGTGTTTTTGGAGATGTACTGGAAACTGCAGTGCTAGGGTGGGGGTCTGCTAATGTGAATACATAGGTGTTCAGTCAGATTGCCCACTTTAAACTGATGGCAAGATCAAAGACCACATCCCTACATTATAATATCAATTACATTGAATGAAATGAAGCAAAGTATGGCTGTTCCTCAGTTGCTGTTCCATGGATCTGCGCTACAGAAAATCTTTGAAAGACCATGCTTTTGAAAAACATAATAGGAGTGTTCTAGCTACTGGAACCAGAGAAGTTTTCTGTCAGGGATAAAGAGGTGCAGAAAATACTTATGGTACTTGTAGGCTAGATTTAACGTAACTTACTCATTTGTTCTTAGGTTCTAGAGAACAGGAAATCGTAACAGGGCTCTTTTCTAAGGATGTCATCCTTCCTTGTCATTTTTCACCTGGGAGCGATGAAGTAATTTACTGGAAGAAAGAGAACAAAAATGTGCACAGCTACTATGAGCAGAAGGACCAGTTAGAAGGCCAACATCCAGATTACAGAAACAGAACACACCTTTTTCATCGGAACATTGGTCAAGGAGATGCCTCCTTGAAACTTAGTAATGTGGCCTTGACTGATAAGGGCCTTTATCATTGCTATGTGGGAACAGAGAAAGCCAAAACAGAAGTGGATGTCATGCTGCAGGTGCAAGGTTGGTAAAATAACGAAAGTGCTTGGACTGTGCCAGTAGAAATTGGCTGTCTCTTACAGATTTCACTGGTGTTATTTCCCCATTGGAATTGAAATCCTCTAACTCTAATGGAGCACATTTGGGGCCTTCTGGTGTTCTCTTTTCCTCTGGTAAAGTGTAACAAGTTAAAAAAAAAAAAAAAAATTACAGTGTGGCAGAATCAGAATCTACTGCACAGTGATTTCAAAAGAGTAATTAGTACACTTGTCTTAAAACTTATCGTATCTTCTTAGAACAGTAATGGCAGTAAGTAAGGCTATGCTTTCCTTTGAAATCATGTATACTAAATTTTGTTCTTTATTCTAATCTTTCTTCTCAATGTTATTTAAAAGGACCAACTACTTCAAGTTAAAAATGATTTTGAAACTAACAGGTCTACTTTTTTTTTTTTTCTTTTTTCTGATTTACAGTTCTCTCTATTTATGCACTGGAATACCAAAAGACAGACACAGAAAGGATGCTGAAATGCTATGCCTTTCATACTTATTTGATGCCAAATGTAACTTGGGTACAAGGCACTACATATATCCCAGAAACAGGTCGGGAGGAAACCAGGAATGGAGTTCTCTCTTCTATTAGAAGTGACCAGAATGTTATAAGCACATCTGATACTTACTACTGTCATATTAATCTCTCTCATGAAAACTGGACCGCTGAGTGGAGTATGCAAGGTAAAGATAAAGGGATAAAGCCTCTTCCTACATCATTATTGTAATTATTGGTTGTCACATTGCTGGGATTCTTCAGCCTGCAGAAGAGAATTCTCTGAGGACCTTATAGCAGCCTGGAGTAACTCTAGGAGACCTACAGACAAACTGGGAAGGGACTTTTTATAATGGCAGGTAGGACAAGAGTAAATGGTTTTAAACTAGAAGAGGGTAGATTTATACTAGATATTAGAAAGAAACTCTTTACTGTGAGGGTGATGAGACACTGGAACAGGTTGCTTAGCAAGACTGTGGATGCCCCTTCCCTTGCAGCATTCGAGGCCAGGCTGGATGGGGCTTTGAGCAACCTGTTCTAGAGAGGTGTCCCTGCGTATAACAGGGAGGTTGGAACTATCTTAAAGGTCCCTTCCAACCCAAACCGTTCTATGATTCTATAAAGCTGGGTGCTGAGCCAAATTAAATCCAGTATGTTTGCTTTGGGCCAGCAGGGATATGGAGTAGTGAAAGAAGTTGCATCAGCCTCTTTGAAACTCATTGTTTAAAATTACAAGTAAGGATAAGAGTGGGTAGCTTGCACTTCCATAAGGTAATCTTACTCTCAACATGTTTTCTTTATCATTTTCACATTTCAAAGGGTGCATCATAATCAAACTTTATGCTTTGTCAAAAAAAAGAATGACCTCAGACAAAATGTTGGCAAGCCTTAGTGAACCCAAGGGTTACGTGAGGGAAAGTTTGCTGCTCTTTATGCTTGTTAGTTCATTCTCCACATTTTGCCAGAGTACTTTCAGTACCGTCTGATCTCCTCTTTGCACTTCTCTTAAAGTGTATACTTAAGTACGCAGGTGCAGTGTTGGATGTGCATAGGTGTGAAGAGCCACAAGCATGTTTACATTCAGGCAAATTGCAGCTGATTATTACTGAAGGAAAAAGAGGAATAAGAAAAAGTCTCCATTTTGTCCTACTCCTGCAATCCAAGCATTCTCTGGATTTACAGTAATTGGTACTTTGCAGCCTCTCGTGTTTCTTAGGAAATGTTTTTAATTGGATCAAGAGCACTGTAAAAGCTCCTTTCAGATATATTCATGACTGCCTTCATTGCCCTGATTGCTTCCTAAAGCACACCCAGAACACTCTCAGCTCCTAATCCACTGCATTTGCTTCAGAGGAAGAGCGATGTTTTTAATTTACATACAGTAGTGTATGACTATGGAAGGTTTCAAGTATGATACTATAGCAGATAAGTGCATTGTAAATATCTGTTTCGTTAATCTGTCTTTCCAATCCACAAGTGAAAAAGCTGCATTTAATTACACCTTTGTTTGACTTTCATTGTATGTCTGCCATCTCATTGGAGCATTTTGGGAATATATTTCTTTCCTGTTCTTTATACAATAGCATTGTATTGTATATATGGCTATAGGTGGTTGGGGTTTTTTTCTCATAATAGTTTCAGCTCCACACCTGTATATTCAGTTGCTCCCAATATCTAGAACTTCATATTCCTTTAGACTGCACCTAGAATGGATCAAATCCCTTCTATTTATGAGTCCTTCAGGATCCTGAACCTTAGGGAAGAAATATGTTATTTGGGTGTTGTTTTTTTTTTAATAGTTGTATGATAGCATCTAAGGTAAACCTTTCAGAAACATACTGTGGTGTGTGACTGTGGTATCAAGGTACTGAAACAAGTTTTAACTTTTGTCCATTGTGGATTTTTTTCTCCTCTAACTAACCTTCATATCATTTTCTAAAATAATTATAGAGGGCTTTTTGTAATTATCTATTTCAGACCAACTTTCAAAAGCTGAAGGAAGTAGTGCTGCCATTTCTTGTGAATACAGCAATAACGCTTTACGTGCTGAAGATTTCATTGTTGTCTGGAAACTAAACAAAAACGCAGCTATCTCAGTCCTGGCCTCCTTCAATGGTGCATTTCATACTTACCAGCCTAGAGTTCAAATTTTCCAAAACTTTTCACTCAGCATTAGTAATCTTAATGTAGATGACAGCGGAGACTATGTGTGCAATATTTCAACACCTCACTACACAAGACTTAGTGTGACAACGTTACAAGTTGGTAAGTTATTGCTCCTTCCATACCAGAGGGAGGGGAGACAAATGATGGGAGTTCAGAACCAAACCATCAATCAGAAATCTGTAAAATAATGTTTTACAGTAAATACTGGCTAGAGGAAGAGCCAATGCATTATTACTGTCCCAGCTGAAAAACATTAAGATATATTTATTTAATGATGTGTGGGTTTTTTCCTTCTATTCTATGCACAGAGGGCTGTGCAGTCAAGAGCACAAAGAAACTTACAGAATTTTGTCATAAATGCTGTGTCAATAGCAAATAAAGCCTTTTAACAGTAGGAAGGAGATTAAGGCAAGCCCAGAGATGTGTTATGATTTTTTTTCTGCAGAAGAAACCTTATTGAGAAGAACCACATGGTTGTTATTGTCAAAGGTTTAATTCTACACAGTAGGCCTTTCTAAGACTTGGAAATACATATGTATTTCTGCATGCCTTTGTTTTTATTAACTCTAGTAAACTTCCTGCTGTGAAGTTTTAGTTACAGTTACTTTGTTGTCTCTGGCTTCAAGTAGACTTACTGATTGACTCTTCTATCCACTGAGAACTCTTGAGGTTAAAAGTTGACTCCTTTTAGCTTTCCAGTATTGTAGTGCAAACAAAGTACAGATGTTTTTCAAAAGTAGAGTGCCGTTTGGGATGGTGCTTCCTTAAGTCTTAGTTCAAAAAAGGAGGAAATAAAACCCAGCACATTCAAAGAGTAGCACATAGGCATCAATCAATTAAATGCAATCACCTGAAAGACTGAGAAAGCTTATCTAGGACACCTCATTTGTTTTTTTAAGAAAAGAACTTGACACAAATAGATTGGGTGTGAAAACGAAGCAGCATAGCATAAAGAGGAATTGACTAAATTACAGTAACTGCATATTTGTCTTCCTCCAAGGTAGCTTAATTTACAACTGGAAGTTATGCTTTTAATCTCCTTCCTATCATATATAGTCAGCGTCATTGCCTGACTCAAACTAAGCAAACATACCTCCTTGAAGCTCAAATTCCAGCATGATTTTCCTGTAAATCTGATAGTAAATCTGAAGTGGAGAGTATAGGACACCTCCAAGATGTTACACATATGACTGATGCTCCTAACGTGCATGCACAACTATGTTAGTCTCCCTGTACGTTTGCAGGAGATATACATACACACACACACTTATTGTGCTGCTCATGTTTTACTAATTCTGGGCCAGGAATACATTATACAGAACAGGAAAAACATTTACCAAGTTGATGAGTATTTTTGTGTCAGCACAAGCTGAAAACACAGAGTAAGCAGATAAGGGAATGATCTAGTTTAGTATGACAGATAGTGGTCTCAGCATAGCTGTGAGTGCTCTGCTATGGACATTCTCATTTAAACCATATGCTGAATGCCCACAGTTTAGAGCTAAGTGTAGAACTTCTCAGGGCTTTTTTTGTCCCCCCCCCCCCCGGACAAGACAAAACAGAAGAAATGAAGCCTAAAATAGAACCACATGTAAAAGATAGAGTCCTCTGAATGTGAGTGTTCTCTTATTGTTGAAAGGAGCTGAACTAAGGAAATGCTCAGTAGTGCATAGAACAATTCTGCTTAGATGGGCTTTTGTCTCCTGTGGAATCCGTTGTTACTACCCATTTGGGGATCTATTGTTTTTGGTATGCATCTGGATTGCATGGTTGTATCAGGAAGCTGGAAGACATTTTAGATGAAAGTTGCAAAGATTCTATATGGTTAGACTTGTGGTTTGAACTGGAAGATACAGAGTCATACTGGAAATCAGTAGTGCTGCTAATGACACTGAACGCTGTACCTGGAAGCATTGTTTATCAGGCTGATATTAAAATCACAGAATGGCTTGGGTTGGAAGGGACTTCAAGGGTCATCAAAATTCAACCTCCAAGATACTAAGAAGTTATCAGATTGTAACTTATGAGAACATTGGATTTTCTATCAGCACAGTTAAGGAAAAGTAATGTGGTCTTAGCTATTCATGCTCAAGTCATTAAAGTATCACTTTATAGTCTTCACTTGTTGCATGGGTCAAGTAACTTGACCACTTTATCAGTGACATTAAAAAGAAATTGATATGTTCCCCCTAAATTAATGGGTTTTACATAATAAATAAGAGAAAAATCATAGTTTAAGTATACTTACTGGAAAACAGTGAACGTTAGTGTGCAATATAAAAAGCTTTTGTTTAACATTTTGAAATTTGTATTTTTAAAGATGCAGATAACACCTCAACAGTGGCGATAGTGATAGTGATCATTGCCATTATCATCACCATCAGTACGATATACTGTCTGTATAAGAAGGTATGTACAATCAAGTGGATTTATTTTTGAAAACATTAAACTGAAATCTAGATCTTGGGCGTTTGACAAAAACATAAATTTGTTTTTTGTGGGGTAAATCATGCAAAAAAAGACTGAAAATATAGAATGATAAATCTCTTCAGAGGAAAACTGTCTTCATGTCTTTTGTGTCCTGAAAGCTCTCTAGGCTATAGTATTTTGGTTGTAATTGTGTTAAAATGCCCTTCCCTTAACCAGATTGCACTCCCATCTCTGTGAAAAGATGAAAAAATAGATTATCCTTCACAAATATTTCTGTTAACTTTAGCAGAGTCTGTGGTGATAGAACAAGGGGAAATGGTTTTAAACTAAAAAGAGGGGAAGATTCTGATTGGATATAAGGAAGAAGTGTTGTTTTTTTGGTTTTGTTTTTTGTTTTTTAGATATGATAAGGTGGGTGAGGCAGTGGAAGGCTCAGAGGGGTGATGAGTGCCCTGGCTTTGGAGACATTGAAGGTCAGGCTGGGTGGGGTTCTGAGCACCCTGGTCTAGCCTTTAAGTGTTCATTGCTCCCCTGTTCATTGCAGAGGGGTTGAATTAGATCACCTTGAAGCATCCCTTCCACCTCAAATAATTCTCTGATTCAATAATGCCTTTTATTCTTATGTATCTGTAGTAGGCTGGCTCTGTTTTATAGTATTCTGCCTTCTTCCTTTTCTGGTCAGTTAAAAAAAAAAAAAAAAACAGAACAGCTATTATAGTCCTTACTTTGTATGGTAAACCTTGTCCTGTGTGACAGTATGGCCCCATCTGTGGAGAGATGCATCTTTGAATTCACTGGGCATTATGATTTTTTCACAACCTCAAACTTGGTTATACAACAGAAACTGTGAGATAACAAGAGCACACCAGAAAGCCAAATCTAAAATCATAGAATGAGGTGGAATAGACTTCCAAGATCATCCAGTTCCAATCCCTCCACTATAGGCTGGGACACCCTCCACCAGACAAGGCCTCTCAAAGCCCCATCCAGCCCAGTCCTGAACACTTTGAGAGAGGAGGCATCCACAGTCTCCCTGAGTAACTCACTCCAGTGTCTCACCACCCTCACAGCAGAGGACATCTTCCTGACATCCAGTTCAAGTCCACCCCCTTCCAGCCCAGAGCCATTTCCCCTCATCCTGTTGCTATGTGCCCTTAGAAAATGATTGAATTTCTGTTTGTTTTTTTTTTCATCAATGTTATTAAAACTGGAGGTTTTAAAAGTGGAGGTTCTGTTGGATGCTAGCCAGTTTTAATAACATTGATATGCTTTAGAGATGGTGTGTAATTAATGAATATACAGATGTTATAATTAAGAAATATACAGGAAAGTTAGGCTAAACAGGTTATCACGCTAAAGAAGAACGGTTGGAAAGCTTACTGAGAAGACTCCAAGAGGAGTGATCTCCAAAAGAGATCCTTTCCCAGTGGCAGTCAGCTCTTAAATGGGGTCTAGGAAAGATGCAGCCAGACTCTACCCCTCTGGTAACACAGGAGAATTGTCTTCACCTGTGTTCCCAGGGCTGACTCATTGCTTGCCTCAGATGGTCAATCAGAGGTTCAGGCCGTGATTCAGAAGTTCCCATACAGGTTACCACCACATGCAGATGAAGCTGTTTTGTTCAAAGAGCTTAAGCATTATCCATTTGTCTTGGGACTTGCTGAGATCTTTCACTTAGAGGGAGCAGAACAATATATGGGTTAATACAGCAGTGGTGACATTGATTGAGGACTAGAGGGAAGAAATAGGAATGCTTCTACATTGTTGTGTAGATATTTATTTTGCTCACCTTAGTATTAAAATGGAAAATACTTACCTCTATCACAAGAAAGTCTTGTTGGGATTGATTAGACACATAAGTACGTAGTTCTTACGAAAGTTTTTGTTTTAACCAGAGATGCAGAAACAATGGAATGATATGAGGGCCTGGACATACTAAAAGAAACCCTTTCACTGCAAACAGAGGCTCCTGTGATTGTTGCTGAAAATAAGCTTGGAGAAATAGGAGTTCCTTCCTACTGAGTCACACTTGGAGAAAAATACATGGCTAATTACCTGAGCAGCAGAAACAAGCAAGTAAACAGACAGAAAAAAGTATATGCAAGTCAACTGACACTTGTATGTGAGCAGTCTGCATGAAAAACTGAAATTTGGGTGTATTAAAAGAACAACAGGAAGGTTTCACAGAAAATCAAGTATTGAGGGTTGTTTTTTTTTTGAGGTTTTTAACTGTAAGGGGAAGAGAGGACTTACTGTTTTGCACTTTACTGAATGTTTTAATACCAAATATAAAGTGGAAGAGATCTAAAAGAACACTACTTATGAGGCGTAGGCAGTCTTTACGTGACAAGTCCCTCCACAGCATTTCTGATGCCAATCATAGAATCACAAGGCTGGAAAGGACCTACAAGATCATCTAGTCCAACCCTCCTCCCAGTACCGTTGCTACCACAAGCTACTAAACCATATCTCGTAGTTCCTCATCCAGACTCCTCTTGAACACTGCCAGGAGTGGCGACTCCACCACCTCCTGGGCAGCCATTCCAGTGCCTGACCACTCTCTGAGAGAAAAAGTTCTTCCTTATGTCTAACCTAAATCTCCTCTGGCACAATTTGTAGCCATTTCCTTGGGTCCTATTTGTTGCCTGGGAGAAGAGACCAAACCCTTCCTCATCACAGCCTCCCTTCATGAAGTTGAAGAGTGCAGTGAGGTCTCCCCTGAGCCTCCTCTTCTCCAGACTCAACAATCCCAGCTCCCTCAGCCACTCCTCATAAGACTTGTGCTCCAGACCCCTCACCAGTTTATTTGCCCTTCTCTGGACACGTTCTCAATGTCTTCCTTGTAGTGAGGGGTCCAAAACTCAGTACTCAAGGTGCAGCTTCACCAGTGCTGAGTACAGAGGGATGATTGCCTCCCTGCTCCTGCTGGCCCCATTATTTCTAATGCAGGCAATTCTGTCCTGCAGCTAGAGAACAGAAATCCTTTGACCAATTGTAGGAGAAGCTTCTAAAAGGTTTGTTTGAAGTTTAGCTTCTGCTGTCCTAAAAAAACTGGTACAGCCCCTGACCAGCAGACAAGACAGCTAGAAGCTGAGCTATTGTGACTTTAAGGGTTGGCCTTTGAGACTGGGAAACATGACTGGATTTGCCCTTCAGCTTGATTTCACAAGAGATCTGCCAATTAGGATTTGTTCCTATTTAATGAAGTGGGCTATTGGAAGTATGTAATCCTTTATTGGATCCCTGGGGCTCAACAAAATGAAATTATATAAAAATGAATGGAATATGCTATACTGATATTTATTTTTGTAAGTGCTTGTTTTAGTTTTAATACATCTGCTTTTAGTTACGTCTGATTGTATGAAACATCATCTTGTATCTGTGAGCCAGGACTGTGCTTACTCCTCTTCATGAACCTGAAATGCAATTGAGAAAGTATATAGCTGTTGAAAAACAAAGCATTGCAAGGGATTTAGGATAAGTTCACAAGTAAATGACAAAATCTTCTGTTCACTAATGCTTGTGCTTATTTGCAAAATAAGTTTATAGCTTATAGCTGAAATACAGTAGCACTAAATGGTGTAGATATTGAATCTAGCCAAACTTTTCTGTCTTACTTCAGCTAGGAATATAGGCAGCTTCTCCTAATGCTAGTGTTTGTATCCTTTGAAAGCAAATGATTTCTGATGTGTCACAATATAATGTTGTTTGCTCTGAATCACATACTTCCTAGAGTTTCCAGGAACAGGGGTAGCAGTATTAGAAAACAAATAATAATGCTAATAAATAAAGTCTTTCCTATGGCATTCTCTCCCTAAAGGAAGTGTGCAAATGTGTAAAAGACCAGATGTTCATCTAATATTAATGTAGCCCTGCTATAAAGAGTTTATCTACAGTAGTTTATTTCAGCTAAAGATGACTTTAACGGTCTATTATAAAAGCAGAAATTGGAGTATTTCCTTTTGCACAGAATTGTGGATACAGAAGAATGAAGGAAGTGATGGGACAGAATGGGATAAAAACAGCTAAATAATATGGAAAGATTTATGTTCTCTTACTTAACTTAGGAGCTTAACCTCCATTACATTTATATGTTGTTAAGTATGGGAGTTTATGTTACCTTTGCAAATGAAGCAAATAAAAGCAGCGACCCTGCTCCTCTTCTATCATTCCTACAAAGTTGCAGAACCACCCTTCCTTTCCCTGGTTGCTATCAGGCAGGTAAAGTCAGGTAGAGATTTGATTTCGTAGCACCTTTCAGTTTCATCAATCTTACTTTACTTTAGTACCATTTTGCTCAGGTGCAGAATACCACAGATGTATTTCTCGTTACTAATCACACCACATGACTAACACCTAATATTTTCATCCAGCTCTTGAAATCAATGCAGGTTTTTTTTGAAAGAGCACTGTTAGAATAACTGGCACTCTGCTAATGCAGTAATCCCCCGGCTCCACTGCATACATAGATATCTACATCATTAAAGGAAGGGAGAGACAGAGCTTTTTAATATCACATATGCAAAACAGTCTGGAAACTTCTGGCTACTGTGTACTGAGCAGTCACATTTGCCCCATGGAGTAAAACCGTACCTTTTTCATGCCAATATCTCTTGACTTGCTCCTCAGCTTGTTAACTTGAGATTCAGCTATTTCTGCCCTTTCTTCGGCATCATCCAGATCGTGTTGCTGTTTTCTGTACTTCGAAAGGTACAGATTGGCTTGTGCTTCCTAGAGAGAGAAAACATCAGAGCTAATTTCCTCCAATCACTAAGAAACAAAGCTTTCTACTTCAAGTATAACAAAAGGGCTCAGTGTGGCTAAGTAACAGCCCTATGGGACCCACTTGACGGGCCAAGGGTTGGTGGTTTATTTTATTTATTTATTTATTGTGGTTAGGGTTTTTCTTTCTTCCTCCACAAAGAAAGGATTTCATATTTCCAGCAGCACTCTTCATTTTAAGTGAACTGGAAGGCTCT